CATAGCTTTTAGTTTTGAAGTATAACAAGTTATTTACACGACGAGACAATATGAATTAAAACTCTTTATTTCTGATTCTGCTATAGTTGAATCCACTAGAATCTTTGTTATGAATAAAAATAATTATATTGTCAGTATATATATAATTTTACGTTCTATTTACGACTTTGATCATAGTTAATGAGTTAGTTATGTACCGTAAACATTATCAAGGATCACAAAATATAATATAATCTCAAGGCCCCAATAAAAACAAACAAAAAAAACTAATGGATGAAATTAGATTTTATCGTTTAGTTGGTGAACTAAACTTGCTACTCTACATTCTTTTATAAAATAAATTAATAAATATTTCTACTTAATTCATTTTTATTTAATATTTATTAATATTATTCCAACTCCACCAACCTCACCAATGTCACTTCAGTTAGAGAAGTGCGTTTAACTGAATTCTTCTCAACAATACTATATATATAACTCCTAATTCAAAGTCAAAAGTTTAGATAAGATCCTTAACTAATTTCAATGCTAATATATCCTTCGTCTGTCTCATTTTAGCTGTCGTTTTAATTCCTTTTTTCTGTTCTTAATTTTTTTTATTTTTTATAAATAGAAGATATAATTTATTAGCATATCAGAGTTAATAATAAAAATATTCAAAAATATTATCGTACTTTGATGTAATTTTTTCCCTTTCAAGTACATAATTTTAGTTTTTTTTTTTAAAATCTTGATATTCCCTATTTATATTAGTACCAAATTAAATTTTAGTTTAAGCCACAAAATTTCATATAAGAGTTAAACACTCCTTAATATGAACTCTGCAATGCATGAATTCAACTTAGTCAAACTCTAATGCCAGTACCATATACCAAATGAAAAAATAAAAAGACTAAAGTCGGATTTATCAAATAATTGAAAGACCAAAATTTCTATCAACACATTCAAGTGTATGAATTCACGAGAACCCGATAAATTTGTTTTCTAAACTCTCTATATACACTAAGAATTAAATAGTTATATGTTCATAATATTAAATCATAAATTTAATTATTATCATATCGTAAATTAATTTGATATCTTCTTAAAAATTTAATAAATTTCAAATTCTAAATCGCACTCCATCTTTTTTTCCCTTTTGACTGATCAACTGCTTAAGCCAACATTTGCCTCTTTAAGGGTCCCACTTCATATATTACTTTACTATATAGTATATTTAACATTTTAACAATTTTAGTGGCATGACATCCTCAACTATAGCACAAGTTCCTAGTTGAATTTGGTAGTCCAATTTCAAAGTGGGACACCAAAGTATATCCACATGAAAGCTACATCTCATATAATAAAAATCTCTTTTTTCAATAAATAAATAAAATAACATTTGATGAAAGCTGATGATAAAAACTATGTTTTTGGGTTGGTTAGGGTTTGCACAAATAGATTTAAGGGTAATAATAGATATAATAAGTCACCAGTAAAATATTAGTATATAATACTTATTTATGAAGATTAGTTGAAAATGTGATGCAATCTTTCTTTACATGACATCTATATGGTGCTTTAGATGAAATTTCTACTCTATATATTATGGTGATGCACTAGTTAAATTAATTAACAAAATCATGCAGGACTTTTAGTGTAGTAGCTGAATTTTTTTTATCTAGTCGTTAATGAAGTTGGTTAAGAGACATGAGATTTCAGATTTAAATACCAATGAAGATAAAAATCCTAGGTAATTTTTTCTCACTTGTTCAAGCTTTGGTGGACATACAAAGTTACCAAGTAGTACTTGTGCGAGTAGAAGATAACATATACCCCGTAAAATTAGTCAAGATAAATACAAGCTCACTCAAATACCTCGGTTGTTAAAAAGAAACTATGTTAACAAGTAGTACAAAATTTTGAAGTGTGAATCAATTTACAAATGGGATATGTTTGAACACAATTTGGTAGGGAGTTCTGACTTTTTATGAATTTTATGTTTTCGAAAATAGACAAACCTCTGTTATGTGTGAGGAACGTGGGGTTCTTGGCAACTTAAACTTCTCACTTATCATTAATTTAAGATTCTGGAAATAAACATGTGATATACGAGGGTAATGCTAAATGACCAGAAAATTTGGTCAGAAATTTTAAAAGTCTATAATATCCTTTTTATTTTAAAATAAACTGATATCTTTTTCATTTTTTAATTAAAAAGTAATAAAGTTAAAAGGGTAAAAATGTTCAAAAAGGTAAAATAACATAATGTGAAATATGTTATTTTACCATTATAGCCAGATTTTCTGGCCAAAAGGATTTTCCTATGATATTTGTTTCATGGACAAGGCAAATGACATATTCGTCCTTGCAATATAAGCCAGTGTGTTTCACAACTGCACAGAGTGGCAACAATCAAATATATTAATAGATACATGTTGAATCCTCTTGGATACAATGTATCTAGAATAAATTATACCTAAATTTGACCCCATGTATCTGAGATACATGTATCTGGAGACATCATAATCTGGTAAGATATACGTAATATTGCAAGCTAGAGTGTATCTAAGTAAATAGCTCATTGAATAGTCAGATTTATGTAAGTTCCCCTACATTAATAGTGCTTCTTTTGATGCATTTAAGCCCATGGGAATATATATGGCCAGTCCAATTTATCTTTTAAGGGCCAAAGTTTCAATTCAATCCAATCAAAGCCCATCCATATTGGGCCACGACTTTTCTAGTGTAAATCACAAATTTGGTCCCTAGAGATCAACCCTTCTACAATATAATTCATGAGCTCAAGTTACAAAAAGTTAAGAACCCGCCAATTGAATCACGACTCAATATCTTTAGTTGAGGCGCCCAACTCTTCCATATTATGCCTTGACCTTTAGTTCTTTTGTCGAAATCATCTGGTAGCACAATCCGGTCAATATTTTTCGACTCCAATGGCTTACGATTTCCTGATAACTCCAATCCACGAGCCAACTTGTTGATTCATTCAAACCAACCATCACTTCACTCACTAGCACTATATAAACCATTGAACCTTTTGGTTCCTCATCTAACCACTCTTTGATCGATATCCAAGATTCATTTTTTTCATTGATAATGCTTTCCACCACAGGTGACATCAACCCCATACTTCAAGTTGTGACCTTCAAACTCGTGACATTGAAACCATATAACTATGTGAAGCTTTTTAGTATTACGTACACACACTACAACAAAAACAACTTTCAGCGCCAATAAATAGACACATTAATAAAGAGTGCTAAAGTCTTTACCGGCATTAGTTAAGTGCCATTGGATTCAATGTCGCTAAAGCCTTTAGGGATATATACAAAGAGTGCTAATTGCCGCTAAAAATACATATTTAACGATAATTGCTAATTAATTGCCGCTAAAGCTCATTTTTAATATAGTCACAATTTGTTTCTTCTTCTTTTTTTTGCTAATATGCTTTGCTATGATGAACAGCTATATTACAAAGAGTGTTGAGATCACATTATAAAATTGTGTAAACAAAATATATTATTACTCTTTTGACATGTTAGAAAAAATAATACTGGTAGTTGTATCATAGTTAAATCATATAATCGTACGTGTGTCACAAATATAGTCCCAATAGTTTGATCATTATATGTTTGGGTAGCTTGGTCATGTCATAATCTGGAACAAATATATTTATAGCTATCGAAGTACTATTTCTGAAAATTTGTAACTTTCCAGAACAGAAAGACAATGGCGCTCGGGATTCCTTTTTCCAATCCTTTTAACAAAAAGTAGAAGTATTTATTTATTTGAATAATTGAATTTTTTTTCAACCGCCAATAAAATAGAAATGCTCACTACAGGAAAAATGTGAATTACATGGGATTTTCTTGGAGATTAGTACGAATATTTGTAGGAAAATAAGTTTCCTACGGATTTTCGTACTAATCTCCAGGAAAATTCCCGTGTAATTCACAATTTTCTTGTAATGACTTTTTATCAAAGCATATGAAAATACTTCATGTTTCCTCTATTCATCTTTCTCTATTTTCTTTTTATTCTTACTGGACCCAACACTTATCGTTAAAATATTTTTGTTCCCAAATATGGATCGAACATGTCTCTTTCCATCATTTCCCACCATTATTAATTTTATTGAGTTGGCAATATGGCCTTTGCATCTTTTGGCAAAACATCAATAAAGAGAAGTGAACTTTTTACAAAAATTATGAAATTTAAAAATTGAGAAAATCTTTTAGGAAACAATCAATATTTCTTAAAGTTGAAAATAAAATAAATTATATGACCCTTTTAAGCGGTGAATTTGGAAAGTTCAAGAAATGGGATAATATGATCAAAAGAGCTTTGAAAACATAACATTGTGAAGCTTTTTAGTATTACTTTAACACCCTCCCGAAGGTTCACAACTAAACATTTGAAACATGAGTAATTTAATATTAATTTCTTACACTATCAATGACTGTGAGTCTCTCTAGTTCATATTAAATAAATTATAGGAATATGACACATTCCTTAAGAAAAGTATTTAAGAAAATAAATCGAAATGCTACTTTCTACTATGGTGCTTCTGATTATTTTCAAAATTATTCTCTTAGAAAATGTATTGTAGTTAAGAATCTTGTTAAATGGATAACAAGTATGGAAAAAAAAAAATTTCAATAATTCTCTTGAACTTTCAACAATTCACTTATTTTAAATTATAAAAAAAACCTTAATAATTCATTTAATTTGTATTGAGGGAATAATTAATAACAATCTCTCTATACGCGCCCCAACTTCGAATGTGGTGTTTTCACTTGTAAGATTAAACAAAAAATTGAATGCCACAATCACATTGCTTAATAAACCCAAGATAATGAAAAGAAAGTACATATTTATTTAAAAAAAAACTAAACATAACATCACAATTAGCACCCAAACTAACAATAAATGAAAAAAGAAAAGAAAAGGAAAGGGTGGGAATTTTTTCACACATTAAGATATAAATAGATCCGCATCCATTAATTCTTTACTTTCATATGATTTTCCAAGAACTTAATTAGATTTTCTATATACCTATCATGAAGCTCTTTGTTACCAAATATGGCTCTCATTTCTTTTGCTTTCTCTCGAATTAGCTTTCCATCATTTCCCACCATTACTAACTTCACCGAGTTGGCCACCGAGTTGCTCGTGTAGGACCCGTTCTCTTCGTTTCGTGGTACTTCCACACCGACCCCTTTGTCCTCTAGGATTCTAGCGTTAAGTCCTTGATCAACCAAAAAAGGTAACATAATCAACGGATGACCAAACATAAGCCCTTCTATAGTGGAGCTCCATCCACAGTGAGTCAAGAATCCGCCAACTGATTTATGACTCAGTATCTTCATCTGAGGCGCCCAACTCTTCCATACTATGCCTTGACCTTTAGTTCTTTCCTCAAAACCATCGAGTAGCACAATTGGGTCGATATTTTCCACCCCTGATGGCTTCCTCAAGACCCAAAAGAACGGTGATCCTGATAACTCCAGCCCATGAGCTAACTCATTAATTTCACTTGGACCAACCGTCACTTCACTTCCTAGTGCTACATAAACAATTGAGCCTTTCGGTTTCTCATCTAACCATTCTTTAATTGATATCCATGATTCATTTTTTTCATCGCTACTACTTTCCACTAACGGTGGCATTAGCCCCGTAGGAAGCACGGGAATATGATGTAGATCCTCCAGCAACTTCAACCACTGACCTTCGAACTCATGACAATGACGAACAATAATTGCATCCGACCCTCTAATCGTGACACCACAACGATACACGTCTGAAACTCCAGAAACATTCTTTTGGCTAGACCCCACCATCCACCGCGCCTCGTGGAGGCGATACGCCGCCTTTGTCTCAAATGGGATCCATTTTGGTGGAACCAAAAAATCTTCCAACTTTGGTGGTGAAGTACAATTGTTAGTGTTGATCATTTTCTCAAAGGAACCATGGAAGGAAATGAACCAAGCATTGAAGATACTATAGAAAATTCTTGATATCCCTAATTTGGCTGAAATTGGAGCCAACCAATATTGTGCAAAATCTTGAATAATCCAATCAGGACAATTTTTCTCTAAGAAATTAGTCACATCTTTTTCCATACCATCCATTGCTTTCTTGAGATAAGTCATTTCTTCACTTGTTATAATATCAATAGTGGCCTCAGCATCTTTTGGTAAGCCATCAATTTTTGGAAGTGGGATTTTTACAAAAGTTATGGAATTAGAAAATTCAGAAGGAATTTTTGGGAGACGATCAATATTTCTTGGAGTCGAAATAAAAGAAATTTTATGACCCTTTCGAGCTATGAATTTGGAAAGTTCAAGAAATGGAATAATATGACCAAAAGCTAGCCATGGAAACATAACTATGTGAAGCTTTTTAGTATTACTTTCATCTCCATTGTCTATGGATTTGACAAGTTGACTTTCCATAACAATTCACTTTAAATATGCTGATTGTTTCTTTGATTTCTCCTAGGAATGGAACTAACGTCTACTGGGGGATGAGTTTTTTTAAAGACACAAAACGTGGCCAGAACTTTTGAGATATCATGATATGAAAATATAAATCTATCTCTACGATTTTTTTTTCTCCATGAAGTAAAAATTAACAATACAAAATAGGGACAAAAGTGTCAGATGACCCTTCTGCTGATGCATTTAAAGCCCCCATGAATATATGGTTCAGTCCAATTTATGGCCACAACTTTTCAAAAAGTGAATAAATCACAACTATGGTCCCTAGATTTTGATTTAAAGTTTCTGTTAGCACTTAAAATTTTCACCAAATTGATTACTTTATTTTGTTTTACATTAAAATTTAAGAGTAACATCTCAAATAGATAGTCAGCTAGTCGCATAATGTTTTACATCAAATTTAATTTAAAAGAGTATTATCTCAAACAGATAATCACATAATATCATAAATTAAATTTCATATTTAAGCCATTACATACTACTAATAAATAATTTTCACTTTATTTTTTAAAAAAAATTGGGTGTGCTTTATAAATTTCAAACATAACTTCAAATTGTGTTTGGAATTTCATGATCAGATACTATTTTTTATTTTATTTTTAAAAAACAGGAAAATTCATGGCCGAACAGGTCCTTAAAATCCAAGATCTATTTCCATTACTTTGACCTTTTCGTATGATCTTCCAAGAACATTATGGGTTGATCGAGTTAAAAATTCGAATACTAATTCAGACAAACTTAGTAACTTTTACTAAAATAATATATTTATTTTATTAAATTTATTAATATTTAAAATCATTGCTATAGTTTATATTTTTTAAAAATAAAATTTTAATTTCGCCACTGATTATCTGGAGGATTTTTGAATTTCCAAATATGAAACACATGTCATTGGCGTCCTAACGAATTATCTTTCAATCGTTTTCCACCATTTTTAACTTTACATTAATAAATTGTCTATAGGACCCTCCTTGGTTCTCTAATGGCTAACCATGTGAAGATTTTTTTGTAGAGAAAATAAATAAAACTCCATCTGAACTTGTCCGCTAAACTTACTTTAGTACTTTAACTTTGCAAATAATTATTTACCTTCCTAATCTCATTTCAAGTGAATTAAAATCCACTCAAAAAGCTGATGTGGCAAATAAAAAAATAAAAAGCGAGTGCAAAAGTAAAAAAAAAATAATAAAAAAAAAAAATAGGTCCCTTTTTTTCTTTCCAACCAATAAGGTTTCATCTTCCTCACACCCCACCACCCCACCACCTTTATCCACCAACAACCCCACCCTTTCGTTCTTCGAACCCCCCCACCCACACTCCTCATTCTCCTATTTCGAACCCCGCCGCCACCCACTTGCCTCTCACCTTTCTTCTTCTTCTTCTTCGAGCTTCCCTCCCCGCCACCTTCTTTCTTCTTCTTCGAAACACCCCCACCTATTCCTTCATTTCAAATTATTCTTGCTTATTCTTAGAAGTGATGAATAAGAAAAAAATGAAAAAACCAACAACTTATTGTTGCTTCAAGAGCTTACTTATGGAAGGCTTTGTTGATTATGCTGAACTTGAAGCTTTTTTTAATTAAAAAAATTATAATTTCTTCATCTTAAATTAGTTATTTAATTTGTATAATTTCTATTTTCACCTTTCTAAAATTGTATAAATAAAAAGAAACAAAAAAGATCGAATTAAAAAACTCAAAATTTAAATAATTTTTAATGTGGCGTTGATGTGACAATGAAATGGCGCGTGTGTAACTCACTTGCCGCTGCGAGACTGGTATTGTAGTACTAGGGTTGAAAAAAAACCACTTCACAAAGTGGAAGTGCTCACACATTAAGATATGCTCACAATTAGCACCCAAACTAACAATAAATGAAAAAAAGAAAAGAAAAGGAAAGGGTGGGAATTTTTTCACACATTAAGATATAAGTAGATCCACATCCATTAATTCTTTACTTTCCTATGATTTTCCAAGAAATTAATAAGATTTTCTATATACTTATCTTGCAGCTCTTTGTTACCAAATATGGCTCTCATTTCTTTTGCTTTCTCTCGAATTAGCTTTCCATCATTTCCCATCATTACTAACTTCACCGAGTTGGCCACCGAGTTGCTCGTGTAGGACCCGTTCTCTTCGTTTCGTGGTACTTCCACACCAACCCCATTGTCCTCTAGGATTCTAGCGTTTAGTCCTTGATCAACCAAAAAAGGCAACATAATCAACGGATGACCAAACATAAGCCCTTCTATAGTCGAGCTCCATCCACAATGAGTCAAGAATCCACCAACTGATTCATGACTCAGTATCTTCAGTTGAGGCGCCCAACTCTTCCATACTATGCCTTGACCTTTAGTTCTATCCTCAAAACCACCGGGTAGCACAATTGGGTCGATATTTCCCAACCCCGATGACTTCCTTAAGACCCAAAAGAACGGTGATCCTGATAACTCCAACCCACGAGCTAGCTCATTAATTTCACTCTGACCAACCGTCACTTCACTTCCTAGCGCTACATAAACAACCGAACCTTTTGGTTTCTCATCTAACCATTCTTTAATCGATATCCAAGATTCATTTTTTTCATCACTACTACTTTCCACTATAGGTGGCATTAGCCCCGTAGGAAGCACGGGCATATGATGCAAATCCTCTAGTAACTTCAACCATTGACCTTCAAACTCATTACAGTGACGAATAATAATAGCATTTGCACCTTCAATCGTGACACCATTACGATACATGTCTGAAACGCCAGAAACATTCTTTTGACTAGACTTCACCATCCATCGCGCCTCGTGGAGGCGATAGGCGGCCTTTGTTTCAAATGGTACCCACCTTGGTGGTACCAAAAAATCCTCTAACTTTGGTGGTGAAGTACAATTGTTGGTGTTGATCATGTTCTCAAAGGAACCAAGGAAGGAAAGGAACCAAGCATTGATAATACTATAGAAAATTCTTGATATACCTAATCTTGTTGAAATTGGAGCCAACCAATATTGTGCAAAATCTTGAATAATCCAATCAGGACAATTATTCTCTAAGAAATTAGTCACATCTTTTTCCATACCATCCATTGCTTTCTTGAGATAAGTCATTTCTTCACTTGTTATAATATCAATAGTGGCCTCAACATCTTTTGGTAAGCCATCAATTTTAGGAAGTGGAATTTTTACAAAAGTTATGGAATTAGAAAATTCAGAAGGAATTTTTGGGAGACGATCAATATTTCTTGGAGTCGAAATAAAGAAATTTTATGACCCTTTCGAGCTATGAATTTGGAAAGTTCAAGAAATGGAATAATATGACCAAAAGCTAGCCATGGAAACATAACTATGTGAAGCTTTTTAGTATTACTTTCATCTCCATTGGCTATGGATTTGACAAGTTGAGTTTCCATAACAATTTGCTTTTTTTGTTAATGTTTTGCTATGATGAACAACTATATATATTATAAAGTGTTTCATTATAAAATTGTGCAAACAAAAATATATTATTACCCTTATGACATGCATGTTGAATAAATAAATAAATAGATAATGGTGGCGGTTGCAAAATAATAAATAATCAATCATAGAAGAATTTGTGTGTCATTTGTCTGAGACACGTGGTAACACGTTACATTATTCTAATTATAATTATTCCTGCTCAAAGTCAACTATCTCAATGGATTTATATTTTCGTAAAATATACCTACTAAAAAGTATTTCAATATTGTTATATCAAAGTGCAATTGATCTCATAAAAAATGATCAAATTTATTTTTGTACTTTGAAAAAATGGTTAAATTTATCACTTATACATGCTCTGTATCCTTGTCTCCGTTAGAAAAGGGATACATTTGAACAAAACATAATTTTATGAAGGTGAATATGACTCAAAAATATAACAAAGACATTTATGAGCCATCCTATAAGTCTCGTCCTTTTTGTTTCCTGGTACTTCTACACCATTTTCTTTGTAAATAGGTAATATAATCTATGGGTGAATACTAAACATAAGCTCTTCTATAATTGAGGTCCATCGATCCACAATGAATCAAGAATCCATCAACTGATTAACTGATGAATACCAAACATATGCTTTTTTTGTTAATGTTTTGCTATGATGAACAACTATATTATAAAGAGTGTTGAGATCATATAATAAAATTGTGTAAACAAAATATATTATTACTCTTATGACATGTTAGAATTTTTTTTTATTGGTGGTGGTATCATATAGTTAGCTCATAATAGTCATTGGATGATAATTATGATTAAATAGTTCATTTAATTAATAATAGAAAAATATCTATGTGATTTGTATGGGACACTTAATTAATAACACGTTTTACGTTATTCCAATTATTCCTATTTAAAGTCAACGATGAATTTAAATTTTTGTAGAATATATGTACCTATTCTAGACTAAAAACTCATCCTGCTTAAAAAATAAGTAATGATTCAATTTTAAATCTTAAACTCGAAATCCCTAATTCTGATTTAATAGAAAGAAAGTTCGTTCCAACTTATTTTGTTAATATTCCATCGTTCACTTCCGATATTTTCATAGAAACATATTATGAAGAAAATAAGTAGAAATATTTTTGCACAATATGCTTATACACACAAATTAAGCATAGTTTTGGAGTTAAAATATTTTTAATCAATAATACTTCTGTCGAGATTTAATTACACGATTTGCTCTTTAAATACGCTGATTGTTTCTTTGATTTCTCCTAGAAATGGAACTAACGTCTACTGGGGGATGAATTTTTTTTTTAAAGACACAAATCGTGGCCAAAACTTTTGAGATATTATAATATGAAAATATAAATCTATCTCTACGATTTTTTTTCTCCATGAAGTAAAAATTAAATAATAACAATACAAAATAGGGACAAGTCATTTAAGCCCTTCTGCTGATGCATTTAAGCCCCATGAATATATGGTTCAGTCCAATTTATGGCCACAACTTTCAAAAAGTGAATAAATCACAACTATGGTCCCTAGATTTTGATTTAATGTTTCTGTTAGCACTTAAAATTTTCACCAAATTGATTACTTTATTTTGTTTTACATTAAAATTTAAGAGTAACATCTCAAATAGATAGTCAGCTAGTCGCATAATGTTTTACATCAAATTTAATTTAAAAGAGTATTATCTCAAACAGATAATCACATAATATCATAAATTAAATTTCATATATAAGCCATTACATACTACTAATAAATATTTTTTTCACTTTATTTTTAAAAAAAAATTGGGTGTGCTTTATAAATTTCAAACATAACTTCAAATTGTGTTTGGAATTTTCATGATCAGATACTACTTTTTATTTTATTTTTAAAAAACAGAAAAATTCTTGACCGAACAGGTCCTTAAAATCCAAGATCTATTTCCATTACTTTGACCTTTTCGTATGATCTTCCAAGAACATTATGGGTTGATCGAGTTAAAAGTTTGAATACTAGTTCAGACAAACTTAGTAACTTTTACTAAAATAATATATTTGTCTTATTAAATTTATTAACATTTAAAATCATTGCTATAATTCATATTTTGTAAAAATAAAATTTTAATTCCGCCACTGATTATCTGAAAGATTTTTGAATTTCCAAATATGAAACACATGTCATTGGCGTCCTAACGAATTATCTTTCAATCATTTTCCACCATTTTTAACTTTACATTATTAAATTGTCTATAGGACCCTCCTTGGTTCTCTAATGGCTAACCATGTGAAGATTTTTTGTAGAGAAAATACATAAAACTTCTCCTGAACTTGTCCGCTAAATTTACTTTAGTACTTTAACTTTACAAATAATTATTTACCTTCCTAATCTCATTTCAAGTGAATTAAAATCCACTCAAAAAATTGATGTGGCAAATAAAAAAATAAAAAGCGAGTGAAAAAGTAAAACATAAAAAAATAAAAATAAATAGGCCCCTTGTTTTCTTTCTGATCAATAAGGTTTCATCTTCCTCACACCCCACCACCCCACCACCTTTATCCACCAAGAACCCACCCTTTCGTTCTTCGAACCCCCACCCGCACTCCTCTTTCGAACCCCGCCGCCACCCACTTGCCTCACCCCTTTCTTCTTCTTCTTCTTTCTTCGAGCTTCCCTCCCCATCACCTTCCTTCTTCTTCTTCTTCGAAACACCCCCACCTATTCCTTCATTTCAAATTATTCTTGCTTATTCTTAGAAGTGATGAATAAGAAAAAATGAAAAAACCAACAATTTATTGTTGCTTCAAGATCTTACTTATGGAAGGGTTTGTTGATTATGATTGAACTTGAAGCTTTTTTTTAATTAAAAAAATTATAATTTCTTCATCTTAAATTAGTTATTTAATTTGTATTATTTATTTTGATAATGTGTTTTAAAAATTGTGTTTTCTAGTCTTGAATCTATTAGAGTTTGATTTTATTTTTATAATCTTGGATTAATTCTCTTCTTTTTTTTTCTATTTTTACCTTTCTAAAATTGTATAAATAAAAAGAAACAAAAAAGATCGAATTAAAAAACTCAAAATTTAAATAATTTTCAATGTGGCACTGACGTGGCGCTGATGTGGCAATGAAATGGCGCGTGTGTAACACACTTGCCACTGTGAGACTGGTATTGTAGTATTAGGGTTGACAAAAAAGCACTTCAAAGATGGTAAGGGTGATATTTAAACGTCTGTGTAGTTTAAGTGCTAAAGTAAGTTATGTTGCCAAGTTTAAAGGTTTTTTTATGTATTTTCTTTTTTGTATTACTTGTATATCCATCGAGTGATTTTATCGATATATGAAGGTCTAAATTGAGTGATTTTGTAGATACAAAATAAAGTTTAATGAATTTGTTATATAAATTTCTAAATTTTGAATAATTAATTTATTTTGCACTATTTAAGAACTCAATAATTCAAACCCCAGGGTGTAATTAATAACATCACCCACTTTTGTATGGTCATGTCATGAATATAACCTCAATATTTTTTAAGTAGTGGTTCAGTGGTATAAGGTGCCAATAAAAGATAGTAATAAACAATAGAGAGAAGCACAAACAAAAGAAAATTGTGTAAGCACATGCAATTTCTCAAATCATGGCCAATGGAGATGTAAACAACACTAAAAAACTTCACATAGTTATGTTTCCATGGCTAGCTTTTGGTCATATCATCCCATTTCTTGAACTTTCCAAATTCATAGCTCGAAAGGGTCATAAAATTTCATTTATTTCGACTCCAAGAAACATTGATCGTCTCCCAAAAATTCCCTATGAATTTTCTAATTCCATAACTTTTGTAAAAATTCCACTCCCCAATGTTGATGGATTACCAAAAGATGCAGAGGCCACTATGGATATAACAAGTGAAGAAATTATTTATCTCAAGAAAGCAATGGATGGTATGGAAAAAGAGGTGACAAATTTCTTGGAGAAAAATAGTCCTGATTGGATTATTCAAGATTTTGCACAATATTGGTTGGCTCCAATTTCAGCCAAATTAGGGATATCAAGAATTTTCTATGGTATAATCAATGCTTGGTTCATTTCCTTCCTTGGTTCCTTTGAGAACATGATCAACACTAACAATTGTACTTCATCACCAAAGTTGGAGGATTTTTTGGTTCCACCAAAATGGATCCCATTTGAGACAAAGGTGGCCTATCGCCTCCACGAGGCGCGGTGGATGGTTGAGTCTAGCCAAAAGAATGTTTCTGGCGTTTCTGACATATATCGTAGTGGTGTCACGATTAGAGGGTTGGATGCAATTATTGTTCGTCATTGTCATGAGTTCGAAGGTCAGTGGTTGAAGTTACTAGAGGATTTGCATCATATGCCCGTGCTTCCTACGGGGCTGATGCCACCTGTAGTGAAAAGTAGTAGCGATGAAAAAAATGAATCTTGGATATCGATCAAAGAATGGTTAGATGAGAAACCAAAAGGTTCGGTTGTTTATGTAGCACTAGGAAGTGAAGTAACGGTTGGTCAAAGTGAAATCAATGAGCTAGCTCATGGGTTGGAGTTATCTGGATCACCGTTCTTTTGGGTCTTGAGGAAGCCCACCAGGTCGGGAAATACTGACCCCATTGAGCTACCGAATGGTTTTGAGGAAAGAACCAAAGATTGAGGTATAGTATGGAAGAGTTGGGTACCTCAGTTGAAGATACTGAGTCATGAATCAATTGGCGGATTCTTGACTCATTGTGGATGGAGCTCGATTATAGAAGGGCTTATGTTTGGTCATCCATTGATTATGTTACCATTTCTGGTTGATCAAGGACTGAATGCTAGAATTCTAGAAGACAAAGGGGTTGGTATAGACGTACCACGAAACGAAGAGGACGGGTCCTACACGAGCGACTCAGTGGCCAACTCAGTGAAGTTAGTAATGGTGGGAAATGATGGAAAGATAATTCGAGAGAAAGCAAAAGAAATGAGTTCCATATTTGATAACAAAGAGCTTCATGATAAGTATATAGAAAATCTAATTAAGTTCTTGGAAAATCATAGGAAAGGGAAGAATTAATAATAATTAAATAAAGTACACCATTTAGTGAAATCTTTCCTTCCTTTCTTTTTTCAATGTGTTGAAACCTTACAAAAAATAATTGTGGTTTATAACCATAAACTTAAAATACTTAATTTGCCTCTTTTCGATTGAATGATTTTATTTATTGTTATATCTTATTTTCATTTCTGCTTTTTGAATATGTAAAATTAAAGATATGGATACGAAGAACAAGAGATGTCGGAGAATTTTTCTTATTATTGTTATTCAATATTCACAATATCACCTCCTTTTAATTATTTCTATTCAAAGTTCACTGTCTCAATGTGTTTAGATTTTCATAGAATATATTCGGTATAAAAAACACCAAATATATGTGAGCCAATTTTGTAACGATAGGGGTATGTGAGCCACTTTTGCAACAATAAGGAGTATATGTGAGCCAATTTTGTAACGATAGAGACATATGTGAGTACTTTCATAACGATGATATATCAACTCTAAATGACAAAATTGACTTTCTTCCTATTTTTCTACGTACTTATCATGAAGATTATTGTCCCCAAATATGGAACACATTTCTTTCCATCATTTTCCACTATTTTTAGCTGTATTGAGTTGGCTATGAGTCACTCTTATATGTCCTCCAGTGGCCTTTGTATCTTTTTGGTAATCTATCAATTTTGGAAAGTGGGATTTTTACATAAGTGGAATTGGAAAATTGAAAGGGACTTTTTGGGAGACTATCAATATCATATATATAGAGAGTTGCAATAAAAGAAATTTTATAACCTTTTCGAGCTATGAATTTTGAAAGTTCAAGAAATGGGATGAAATGACCAAAAGCTAGTCATGGAAACATAACTATGTCAACCTTTTTAGTATTACTTTCATCTCCATTGGCTATGGATTTGAACTCTAACAAACCTCGCACGTTCAGGACTGAATATTTAAAATACGAATAATATAACATTAATTTGTTACCTAAACAAAATTAAGTAAATCAAGAATTGAAATGTGAATGTGACATAATTTTGTTACTATCAATACATTTTAATTAAAAACGACCATCACTTGTGTATGGTCTTGTCAGGAATATATTCTCCACCAACAAGATAATGCTATTATTTATAGTACTGGAAAACAACAACATAGAGAAGCACAAACAAAAGAAAATTGTATACAATTTCTCAAATCCATGGCTAATGGAGATGAAAATAATACTAAAAAGCTTCACATAGTTATGTTTCCATGGCTAGCTTTTGGTCATATCATCCCATTTCTTGAACTTTCCAAATTCATAGCTCGAAAGGGTCACAAAATTTCGTTTATTTCAACTCCAAGAAACATTGACCGTCTCCCAAAAATTCCCTCTGAATTTTCTACTTCCATAACTTTTGTAAAAATTCCAATTCCTAAAATTGACGGCTTACCAAAAGATGCTGAGGCTACTATGGATATAACAAGTGAAGAAATTATTTATCTCAAGAAAGCAATGGATGGTATGGAAAAAGATGTGACTAATTTCTTAGAGAAAAATTGTCCTGATTGGATTATTCAAGATTTTGCACAATATTGGTTGGCTCCAATTTCAACCAAATTAGGTATTTCAAGAATTTACTATGGTATAATCAATGCTTGGTTCAATTGCTTCTTAGGTTCAATTGAGAACATGATCAACACCAACAATTGTACTTCACCACCTAAGTTGGAGGATTTTTTGGTTCCACCAAAATGGATCCCATTTGAGACAAAGGCGGCGTATCGCCTCCATGAGGCACGATGGATGGTGGGGTGTAGTCAAAAGAATGTTTCTGGAGTTTCAGACATGTATCGTATTGGTGTCACAATTAAAGGGTTAGATGCTATTATTATTCGTCATTGTCCTGAATTTGAAGGTCAGTGGTTGAAGTTACTAGAGGATCTGCATCATATACCCGTGCTTCCTACGGGGCTAATGCCCCCTATAGTGGAAAGTAGTAGCGATGAAAAAAATGAATCTTGGATATCGATTAAAGAATGGTTAGATGAGAAACCAAAAGGTTCGGTGGTTTATGTAGCTCTAGGAAGTGAAGTGACAGTTGGTCAGAGTGAAATCAATGAGCTAGTTCGTGGGTTGGAATTATCTGGATCACCGTTCTTTTGGGTCTTAAGGAATCCATCAGGTTCAAGAAATAAGGACCCTATTGAGCTACCGGATGGTTTTGAGGAAAGAACCAAAGATCGAGGCATAGTATGGAAGAGTTGGGTACCTCAGTTGAAGATACTGAGTCATGAATCAATTGGCGGGTTCTTGACTCATTGTGGATGGAGCTCGATTATAGAAGGGCTTATGTTTGGTCATCCATTGATTATGTTACCATTTCTGGTTGATCAAGGACTGAATGCTAGAATTCTAGAAGACAAAGGGGTTGGTATAGACGTACCACGAAACGAAGAGGACGGGTCCTACACGAGCGACTCGGTGGCCAACTCAGTGAAGTTAGTAATGGTGGGAAATGATGGAAAGATAATTCGAGAGAAAGCAAAAGAAATGAGTTCCATATTTAATAACAAAGAGCTTCATGATAAGTATATTGAAATTTTGATTAATTTCTTGGAAAATTATAGGAAAGTCAAGAATTAACGAATATTATCTATTTTTAAATCTTAATGTACGACAAAATAAGGTACTCTATTTAGTGAAAATTTCAATAATTTCTTTATGAATTTGTACTATTCTACATTGCCTTCGTTAGTAGGGGTTAAAAGTCAATAAGTAAAAATGATTGTGGTCCAAAATCATAGACTTAAATTACTTAATTAATTCGTTTCTTGTTGATGGAGTACTTTCATCTATCGTTATATCTTATTTTCACTTCTTTTATTCATTTGTATAAATAAAGATGTGAAAACGAAAGCGAAGAATAAGAGATGCAAATGGGAGAGTTTTTCTCTTCTTGTTATTCAATATTCACAATACGTGTATCACTTTATTTTATAGCCTCTTTTTTTTTAATCCCAATAGGACTACAATAATTCTTTTTTCTAATTATTATAATTACATAACAATTATAATACAACTTACCTAATTATTTACTTCATTACCTCCCACAAGCTTAGAGGAATGCGAATTTACTTTCGTTGATTCCACTTATCGTCTTTTAAATTTATACTTTTTATAATTTTAATTTTTTTAGTGAAAATTCTTCCTCTGCAATTACGTATAGTTATCAATTTATTAAATTAATGAAAAGAAAATTAATTCATACCAATAAGAAGGAATATATTCATGTGGAGTGTGGACCATACTTTAAATTGCTTTAACGAATCAATTTTTTTCACTAAAACATTATCCTGAAAACTTGAGTATTTCAAGAATATATCAATATGCATATCGACAAAGCTGCCATTTGCTATCTTTTATGAGAAAGTTCGTACTATATTTATATTAAATCAATTACGTACTATATGATATTTTTTATTACTTAATTAATATTAATTAGGTATTTTTATTTCAATTTATCATTAATTATAATATATTAATATGATTTGATGTAAATATTGATGATGAGTTAGTTACTTTGGTAGCTTCTAGCTTCTTTCCTGTAACAATTAAAAAAAAAAAGAGGCTTTTGTTATTGCTCAGAAGTGTTCTTCTTTTAATTATTTTTTTTGACCAAATATATCAAATTTGAAATAGTGTTCTTTATGAAAAATAAAAGTTCTCTAAATTCCGAAATGACTTGACCAAACAGACAATAAATTATGAAATTTTATAGGATAATTATTTCGTGAATAGCTTTGTTGTTATTTCTATTGCAATGTATGAGCCTTTTAAATATAATCTAAAGGTTCCGTCCAAAAAAAGGTTAGACAATAGTCTAAAAATTTATAGATTATTGTAAATGTTAGAAGATGATGTAAAAAATTATTTATAAAGTTGAACAATATATTAACAAAACAGTAGATCTGAATTTAACGTTATTTGGAAGAATTATTTTTCAAGATCTATACATACACAACATTTATAAGTGGACGGATTACAAATAATGACCTAAAAAAGGATATTTATATAAATCAACCCTATAGATTAGTTAGCAATAAAGTGCCGCTAATTAGGTGCTATTAGGACATGCCGCTAATTCTCCCTCGTAGGGTCTCAAATGTATAGAGATTAGAGTGAATAAAAATCTATCTTAGAAAGTCTTTTGTTTTGGGGAAAAAAAATTGAAATCAAGAAGAAAAGTGACTTTCTAAGAAAAAAACTATTAGTTCAGTGATTATCTGAAAAATTTAAGTGATAAATTGATAACTAAGAAATATATTACATTAATAATTAAATTTAAGTGTCAAAAACACACCGATTTTTTTTTTTACATATCCTATCAATATGCATAAATGTAACTTATTTAAATGATAAAATCTTCAAAGTAAAAATTAGTCACATGGCATCTATTGAGATCCCAACCCCCACCACCCCTGACAAAATAATAATTTTGGGAGACAAGAACCCCCCACACCCATCCCCACCTCACATATACCAAATAAAAAAGTTGTCAAATAGTATGAAGATCTCAATAATTGAATAGAAAATTAAAGTATTGCAAAAGGAAAAATCAAGGAGGGTGGGATTAAGGAGAGTTGATATGCTTTTAAAGATAAAGTGTAAATGATATCTTAAATGAATATCACATCAAAATATATATGATATACGTGATACAAATATATGTAGACCTAAGCCTAAAATAAAAATACACGAACATCGAATATACACTAGGCAACAACCAACAAGCTTGATTTCAAGTAAACACATGCCTACGATGGAAATTTAGTGAAGTAAACTCATATACACTAATAATATTATAAGTATTTTTGTACTATTGTTATACTTTAATATGCTAGAGCACATGTTATCTTCAATACTAATACTTCATAATATATTCAGATATTCAATTAAGCACATTATAATTTGAATGTCCAATCAAATTTACTCACAAATTTTGAAAACTATATATTCGTATATTCCACCACTAACTAAATGCAAAAAAAAACAATATTATTCATCAAATTATTATTCATCACACATGAAATTCTTACATTACAAATATTGCATACATGGTACATATACTAAACCACCCTTCAAAGAAAAATTAAAAGTCCTTATTGGTGCAGATAATTACTACCCATAAAATCTAACATTACATTTATTTAAAAATGCATTTAAGCTCAAGTTTTTCTTCCCATTTCATATTTTAGCCTTTTTATAATTTTGAAGATAACTTAATAAATTTTCCACATAATTATTTTGTCGTGTCTCATCACAAAAAAGATTTTTCGCCTCTTTAATCTTTTTTCGATAAATCTCACCCTCTTTTTCAACAAGTACCAAACTCAGTGACTTAGCCACCGAGTCACGATTGAACGACCCGTCACGATCGTCTCTTGGTATTGAATACGCCATCTTCTTCTTTTCCAACAACCTAGCATTTAGCCCTTGATCGGCCAAAAATGTTAAAAGAACCAATGGCTTCTCAAATTGTATTGCTTCAACTACTGAACTCCATCCTGAATGAGTCAAAAATACACCGACAGAGTCATGACTCAGTATCTTAAGTTGTGGCGCCCAACTCGTGCACACAATTCCCCTTCCCTTTGTTCGATCTTCGAACCCCTCTGGTAGTTGAATCAATTCATCATCATATTCCCCTCTTTTAGTTCTTAAAGCCCAGAAAAATGGTAACCCAGAAAGCTCTAACCCGAGCGCCAACTCGGTGAGTTCGTTTTGACTCGGGTTTACCTCACTACCAAATGCAACGTAAATCACTTTCCCCTTTTCTTGCTCATCAAGCCACAATTTTATCTCTCTCCATGCATCAATCTTCGTGTTATCCTCTTCATACATTGTCGTCGGAAGTTGGCCCACCGGAAAAACCGGTTTCCGGTGAATATCTCCGACAACTTTCAACCATTCCGGTTCATATTCCAAACAACTCCTTACAAGCAAAAAATCAGTGAGTTCAAAAGTTTTATGCATACGAAAAGCATCAGAAACGTTCTCTTCCTCTCCCTTAGGGAGTGTACATGATATCTTAAATAAATATCACATCAAAATTTATATGATGTGTGCACAATATGGCGTAGCTCAAAATATAAATATGTGTAGACCTAAGCCTAGAATGAACAATACACGAACATTGAATATACACGAGGCAACAACCAACGAGCTTGATTTCAAATAAACACATGCATACGATGAAAATTTAGTGAAGTAAACTCATATACACTAATAATATTATAAATATTTTTATACTATTGGTATACTTTAATATGCTAGAGCACATGTTATCTTCTTCGACTAATATGTTTGAGTACAAAATATCTAATACTAATACTTCATAATATATTTAGATATTCAATTAAAGCACATTATAATTTGAATGTCAAATCAAATTTACTCAAAAAAATTGAAAATTATATATTCGTATATTCCACCACTAACTAAATGCAAAAATAATAATATTATGGCTTAAGTCATCGACCGTCCCTTAAAGTTGTTCGCATAATTCACTTAAACACCTCAACTAAGACTTGTACCTATTAAACACCTAAATTGTTCAAAACATATACCTATTTAACACAAAATACTGATATGACAAAAAATGTGTTTTGCACTTCTCTGAAGAACGTGAAAAGATTCAAAATAGTGTCTTTTTGGAATTGTTTTTACATTTTTTCTTCTTTTATTGACACTTGACATTATAATTAACTTAAAACATTTTCTTCTTTCATTTACACTTTTTCAAAAAAGAAAAGGACCCACTCCCTACCTATCATCTTCTTCATACTTTAGTTTGCAAAACTTTCTTCATTTTAGCTCCAACATTGTTTTTCTTTCTCTTTTATAAAAAAAAAGGAATATTATTTCTTCCAAATATGAAGATAAATGAAAATCAACTATGAAGATTCAGATTTGAAAGAAAGTAAGACTT